TGTATAGAATATAAATATGTTTTATTATTATTATTATTTTTATTATTATTGGGCTTCATAGAATTGGAATTCTGTTCCATAAATATTATGTGCTGGAGGCTGATTCAAGTGAAGAGAATGAATTTTCCATAACCCATCTGAAAATAGCAGAATATTAAATAATATAGTACAATTAGAACAGTTTTACAATCATTACAGACCTCCTATATCTTCACACATTCCTATGATTCATCATGACAACACGCGTTTAAATGAAAACAAAGGCAAGTACGTAATTCCTAGAAGCACTCATGATTTCTTTCACTTTGGGCACTCCACAAAATGAAGAGAACGTAGAATGAAAAAAAAAGGGAGCTGTAGTTTTGTTGCGGGGCCTAACAATGTAGCATTTACGCACCTTTAAGTGCATCTCAACGCATACCACATTTACAATAATGTTAGTTGTACAGCCATCTTCCTAAGTCAACTGAATAGTGAAAACACTTGTATTCTCTGTGCGCGGATAAAAAGACTTGGTGATTTCCTAAAGATTTATTTTAACCGGCAGTACTAGCGCATATGTGGCACTGGAGTGGAAAGCCGTCAATTCATTTTTTTTCCTTGAGTATTGACTCTGTACTGAGTCACTCTTATAGATAACCTTAATTGTTCATATTACTTATATTTTCTACAAATAATTACCTGTAAGTTGTCAAACTGTATCAGAAAAATAATTCTATACATTTCCTTAAAAACAGATTAGTTATATGTGAATAAATATGTCAAATAATTTTCATTTTGTAAATAAAGCTTTTTTTATCTGATATCCGTTAAATTTTGGTATAGTTCGTGTAATTCTTCTTCATTGTAAAATCTAGAACACTGTATGTGAAAAATTACCTTCAGTTATAAGATTTAAGATTTTCGCGTCGTCGAAGATTCATGTTGACTTCATCAGTAACATCACACATGCAGTCTCGATAGGTGGGCAACAATGGTTCGGAGAAACACTCTCTCTCCATTTTGAGCGTAGGCGGAGGCAGATAAGGTATGGACAGTATGTTATACCTACTGTTACACCCGCCTACCTGTCAGTAGGATATCGTTAGCCAGCTGATCATAAAATGAATTCTCTTGAACTGTGTCACTCCAGAAAACACTCGCTACAATTGTCAGATCGGATACGTATAACATTAAATCATCCAAGGTCGGTAAGTCTTGCTCAGTGTCCTTAATGTAAACATACATGTGACATGCAGTTACCTCCAGCAGCACGGTCCAGCCTCGCCTTGAACATGATGACTGGGGAACATTACCTGACTGTGCCCTCTTTCTGTCTTCTTGCTGAGAGTTGACAATCTTCTGTTTCATCGAGTGAAAGAAACCATGTTATGTTTTGTTATGCGCAGTGTGGTAGACTGTGCCTCCCTCAAGTTCATCAATTCCCGCTCCTACATCCCCTCTCTGTCACTGTCATCACTTAATTAGTTGCTACGCCTTTCTACATCTCTGCTCTGGTGGGGGCACCCACACAGTCACAGCTGGTGCGGCTACCTCAGAATCATTGTTGAAGCTATGAGGCAGGTCAGTACCACGTGTCACCCCCTGCAGCATTTTGCCGTAATTACAGATCAATTCATGCTTTCGGACTATCACGTTTCAGTGTTCTAGTCCTGTCCACCAATCCATCTGTCAGTTCCGGGAAGTTTGGCTGATTTGATCGTTGTCGGGTCACCAGTCTGTGTATCTGTTAGTATATGTGTGCGAATGTTAGGACAGTTGTGGGGAAGGTCCACGTTCACCCCCTCCTTGTACAGATTTTCTTTGAAGACATTCTTCTTTGTTTTGTTTGTTTGCGAGAAATATAATCTAAGCTTCCAGAAAGCTGAAGATTGTTCTATTAACATGTCAAGATACATCATGACGATTCTGATATAAAGAGAAAGGGGGAGAATGACTCTTTACAAAACATAAAATTGAAAAGACTTACGAATATTCTAGCTTTGAAATTATCAGGCAACGAAATTAACGACAAATTTAAGTTTGTCTTATACTGAAAATTGAATTTGATGTGAATACGAAAAGGAGTAAATTCTTAAGTCACTTCTTTAGGTTCCAAATTACACTTCGGCATTTTTCTGAATTTATTTCAGAAAAACGGAAAATGTTTCAGGATATTGAGATCCAGAATTCGATTAAGAAATTTTCTGAATGGGCACAAAATATGTTAGTTAGAAGCTACTAATTCGAAGCATAGTTTTGAATGAATATGTGAACTGATATGGATTAGTAATGTATTTGGGAGGACTATGATAGCTGTAGATTCTATAGCATAAGAAGGAAAATCCAGGACAAATTAAATCTCCATAGTCAATATTGAACTAGACTAAACCTTATGGATTATAATTTCATACAATATACTTGAAACTCGATATACTTACATGAAAGGATCTTCGATGGACCGAAGTTTGAATTGACGAATACGTATGTTTACACTCATCTTGTATATACACGCGAGACATTGCGCTTAAAACACTGAAATTTGTAGATGATATTTATTTTATATTTAATAAAATCAATGAAGGCTATATCCTCCATCTCTCAGCACTTAGACCCATCTACAAGTTGAGCTTCAAAAATTTAAATTGTAATCACTGTTACTGTGAGAATAGCATAGAAAACAAACACCCCATATATAAATCGGGTATTCAAGAAGTTAATACTGCTTACGTAACGCTTATTTGTACTCACAGCAGCGGATATTCCCTCAAGTTATTTAGTTCCTAGCCATGTTCAGTGATGAACAAGATAATCGTTTAATTTTCTTAGTTTTATACTCTAGCAAGTAAATAAGAAATAGCAACATTGGAAGAGGAAACGATGAAGTTTCGTGTGCCAAATAAATAAAATCGTATTTGATTGTCCTGAGACATCTGCTCCTAAACGATATAGTCATACATTTTTCAATTTTAAAGCTTCACGTTCTAACTCAAAAATATACTGATGTTAATACATCAGTAACAGTGCCGAATTCCCCTCATAATCTCATGTTAGTTTGAATAATTCTTGGTACATAATTTCCATGTATGACTGTATAAGGGGTGGACCTTCTTGGCTCTTACACTGCGACCACAGTGATCTATGGTGTCTCAAATTTCCATGTAACTTTTAAAATAAAAAATATGAAATTAGTGTTGAATTAATTGTTATTTATAGGTATCCGAATTGGCCTAGAATAAATGTGGTTTAAACTACTGTAAGTAAAGTAAAATAAAAGTAAAGCTATTCCTGTAACAGGCCGTGAAGGCCCATAGGGTTGTGAGACCTTGAGGGTCTCACATTTTCTAGACAATCGGTTCAAAGATGGCGGTAAGCTTATCAGCCTTACGCGCCGGCCGCGCTTTACTCCCCAAGAAAATTATTTAATTACTCCCTGGTAATCATTTCTGTTAGAGGCTGAGTCGACCCCAGGGCCATAGTGCGGCTGGAAGAATTAGGTAAATTGAAAAAATCCAATGACCTCATCGGAACTTGAACCCGCGACCTTCCGGCTTGTAGCATAGCCCCTCCCGCGTGTCCCTTTAAAAATTCCCAGTCAGTTTAGGTGGTAACAAGACAGGGATTTGATGAAGACACCTACGGGATGTAGGTCAAGAATATTACTGGTCTTCACTGTGTACGGAAGCAAACAGGACAACTTTGAACTAACGGAGACACATAGGATAAACCTTCCCAGTTACGTAACAAGCCCGATTTCGTGGTAGGTTTCTGATATTCTGAATTCGCCACGAAATTAAGTATGTGTTCTAAGGTGGATTTGATAGTTATTCATGGTTACGAGACACTCATCTTTACAATAAAACTTTTAGGATAATCAAATATTTTCTGCTCATCCTGTCCTTACCAGCAAAGAAATTGTCTTCTTAATCTATATTTTGACTCGCTCGTAGTGCCAACTTCAAGACTTGATATGTGCATAGACCACTTAATGTTTGTGATAGAAAGTAATTTTTAGGGGAATGTATTTTGTCGTGATTTGAAGCTCTCAGGGTATCACATCGCAGAAAACAAGAGCCTTCATTTCTCGTGGTTCTCATACAGTGGGGATTAATTAATTCTTAGTTTCACTGTCGCCGACCACAGTGGCCGCCCGGGTCTAAGACACGAAATGTCTTCGCTAGGTCGAACTCTGGGATTGCAGATTCGATTCCCACTCAAGACGTGGATGTTTAGTGGGTGTATGCGTTTATTCTGTGTTTATGTTGGCCTGTGTTTAGGTAGCGGCCATGCGATGGGCTGAGCACTCATCCAAGGAGCCCTAACTTATGCGAAAAATGAATACGGAACGGAATAAGAGGCCTGGGCCCTGAATGAGATAGATGAGCCATTGAAAAAAATAAGAAAAAACACTACACTTCTCCAAATCTTGAGCAATTTCAATCATATTAAGGCCCTCAAAACTTAGGTCAATTAAATTTATTAATTGAAAATCAGTTCACATTTAATAAAATGAAATTCGCGCATTTTATAGAAAATGTTCACGTATATGATAATAGTATATTCAGTTGATTTTTTCATTCAACTTCTGTCGCATTTGCTCGTATGTCAAGACCGTCTTTTACTTCAAACCATATTAATCCATAGATCATAAATTAAAGTGTCTACTGTCTTCATGCTGAAAAATATGGTTGCTTACATTCCTATTTCAGAACAAAAAACTTCAAATAAAATGTTATATAATTGAAATATTCATAAAGGAGTATTCAAGTGTTCTCCCCCCCCCAAACTGGCAGCATTGCGCACAGCCAAGCCTCTGTAACGGTACAAAATAATGCCACGGGTAGCAATGATGAGCTTCCTGCCCCTGTTCCGCCAGGATGCGTTTAATTGTCACTTTATTCCGACCATCCACCCTCGCAGACTTTGCGTAACACATTGTCCTCTCTCGGACGAGAGGAAGCTGCAATCCAACCAGTATGGCCCTCCTTTCCCGCAACGGAACCCACGAATGTGCAGTAGGTCTGTCCGTCTGTCTCTGTCTATACCGTGTACGTGTTACGCACAACTAACATATGCAGTATATGTACATGCATACATTTCTTAATTCATTTAGAAATGCTCTCTGAAATTCATAGGTTATGTAATACGGATGGGGAATTTTTTTGCGGAATGCTGCAACTAACATGAGACTCCAACTCTTTAACGTATCTTACAATAGGGATTGCTGCGTTTCTGGATTTTGTCCATCGTCTGGTGTTCTGAAATACAAAGGAACAAAACATTTCGGAAACTGGATCTGTTTCCGTTCTCAGGTGAAAGGCCTCCCACTCCTCACCTGAAGACAGAAATAGATCGTGAGATTATCTCCTTCTAACGAACCCGGTACGAGTAGTGTAGGTGTCTCCCATGCTTCACCTGAAGAAAGAACCCGATTCAGTTTCCGAGATATTTTGTTCTTTTGTGTCTTTTAGAATACAAGGCGATGGACAAAGTAGAGAACCCAGTAATCCTGAGTTTTGTACACCATCGTCAGAACCCTTTAGAATAGACTTCACAATATTCTGGGATTTTGGAAGATCAAACCTTGGAAACCTTGTAAAGCTACGCGTCACTTGCTTTCAATTACGCATGTCACACTCGGTTTATCTACGAAGAAAAAGTAAAAGTAAATATGTTCCTGTGCTTAACTGATTAAGCACTACGCCAGGAAGGCGTTTGGGGGAGTTGATATGTAGATGCACATTTTCCTGACCTCGGTACTAGCTAGAGGTGAGTGGTCAGCTTCAAGCTCCGGCCGCTTTATCCACACAGAAAGAGCCGCGGGTACCGATTCGATAGAAGGCTGGGTGAGGCCGAATGCAGATATGGACGACGTGGAGAGGAGAAAAATCTTATTCCTAGCGGGACCCAAACCCCGACCCCCGGTAGTCCATCCCGTAGTCAGTCGCTATACCGACTATGTCATGCTCCTACGAAGTAAAAGTAGAATAAAGGAAGGAGAGCAAGGAGTGTGTTTGCCCTTTTCGTCTGTTTTACTCAATCAAATTTTGCTGATGTTCACTGTGGTTTCCTAAAGGCGCAAGATGAATAAAACTGACATCCCCGCACTAATGTTCATCTCTGTTTCAATAGATTTGGAAGAAGCACTTCTAGGTGTAATGCCTGTCGAGCCTCCATTTCTGCCTCGAATAATTTATAAGCCCCGGAGCTTTCAGTAAAAGTATTCCTTTCATTTTATTCAACAATAAATTTGCCACTATTTTATTTGTTAGAATTATGAGGCTATACCAAGAAAATTTGAGGACATTTCCGGACATCTTTGTATATCTCTTTGAGCGGAAGTTTTGCTATCTTAGTGCCACAGATTTCAGCATTATTGCGCGAAGATGGAAATATATTG